AATTTGGAGAAGTAGCTGATATGGGTAAAGTGAAATTGCTTTTCTTACCCATTTTATGGAAACTGTTCTTGGCTTTGTTGTTTCCTGAGGGTACAGCTTCTTAAGTGGATTCTGGAATTCTCATAAAGGTATTTTGGTAAGTGTAGCATTGTTAAATTGATGTTTCTGTGAGATAACCAGGGCTAGAACATTCTATACTACCATCTTGCTTTTGTCACCTCCAAAATTGTATTTATTTTTAATTATAAAGTAGTGGGGTACAATTCAGTGTTAGGTATACAAACATTGATTATGCAGGTACCCTGTATTTTTAATTTTAAAATCCAAACGTTCACTTCTGGTATGTAGAAAAGAACTTGGCTGTTGTATATTAACCTTTTATTAGGAGACTTGCTATAAATCCTAGTTTCAGTAGGGTTTTTTGTTGATTCTTTTAGATTTTCTGCATAGACAATCATGTTATCTGCAACTAAAACCAATTTTATTTCTTCTTTCCCATGCATCTTTTGTATGAATTTGCTGGGGATATCATAAAAAATACTACAGATGGTGTCTTAAACAATAAAAATGTATTTTGTTACCATTAAGGAGGCTGGAAGTCCAAGATCAAGGTGCCAGTATATCTTGTTTTCTCTCAGACCTCTTTCCTCAGCTTGCAGATGTACTGATCTCCTCTTGCTATTAAAACACAAATTATGGGAAATGACCAGGGCCCTGGCCAGGAGGCTACACTGCACCCACTTCCTTTCACACACCATGCTGGGAGGAAGGCAGCAGCAGCCAGTGATACCTGGGAAACTCCTCTGGGGGGACATTATGGAGCTGGAAGCATCCTTGAGGGAGTCTGATAGCCAGAGGAAGGATAGGCAAGAGTGATAGAAGGAAGTCAAGGCACCATTATCACTCAGATGAGAAATCAGAAACAAGAGAAAATGACGTTACAGATGACCTGGACGCTCCCAAGCCCAAAAAAGCTAAAATGAAAGAGAAGCTAAATGGAGACACTGAGGAAGAATTTAATTGACTTTCAGATGAATTCTGTAAATCTCATAAGTCAAGAAGAAAAGATCTACCAAATGGTGACATTGGCGAATATGAAAAAAAATCAAAGCCAGTATCATCCTTAGATAGCTCTACTCGTAAATCAAATGGTGATAAACTAGAGGAAGCAGGGATACTTTTCATTTTGCATTTGATGTTATTCTTGAAATTCAGGCAATTTGACTTATTTTTGTAGACTAATTAGAACTGATTCTATAATATTTCCTGCTTAGTGTCCAATACTGTCAATTGGATGTAAGAGTCTCTGTAGAGCTGAAGCCTGGGCCTTTTTTTCCTTTGGCCCTTGTTTCTTTCATTGAATAGTTTTTTTCTTGGGGTGGGGTGCTGGAATGGTCAAATTTAAACTTTTCCTGTACATTTGGGTTCCTAAACATTTTTTTTATGAATTGCTTATTGGTTGTCTCCTACTTGCATTTCTTATGATTATTTTAATTCCTAGCAATACTCGTGAATTGACTTCTGACTTCCTGCAACAAGGTACAGAAAGTTTCCTGACCTTGTGTATTTTGCTTTCTACTTTTTCTGCTTCTGTAACAATAACAACTTTAAATGATCTTTAGGTCTTACTGTGACTCAGTGTTAAAGCTGTTTGAATTTTTAAAGCAAAAATAAAACATAAAAGTGATCTGTAGAAATTTGTTCTTCTGGGTATTAATTTTTTGAGAGGTGTAGTAAATATGTAAACATTCTTATGTAGGTAACATCTGCATACCTAGATCCACTGTTTTAGGGCATTTTTTTCCTTTAGAGACAAATTCTTACTCTGTCACCCAGGCTAGAGTGTAGTGGTGCTGTCGTAGCTCTCTGCAGCCTCCAACACCTGGGTTTAAATGCTAGGACTATAGGCATGCACCACCACACTTAGCTAATTTTGTATTTTTTGCAGGGACTAGATCTTGCTATGTTGTCCATGCTGGTCTCAAATTTCTAGCCTCAAGTGATCCTCCTGCCTCAACCTCCCAAAGTGCTGAGATTACGGGCATGAGTCCCATGTCTGGCCAGGCCTATTTTCCTGAACAGAATTTGTCAAAAAATGTCACAATTTTCCTGTAGCAGAGTTCATAGGTTTATCTAGGTGTTAGAAATTGTCAGTAAATTACTTAGGTCTTCACGAAGAAATAATACTGACATTCTTAATTCTTGATCATTAACAATTCTTTATATTCTTTAGTTCTATAATAGCTGATATTTAAATACTTTAAGCTTAATTTAATGCATAATATTTGGGGAGTTTTGACAAAAGATGTTGAATCTTTACCTTACAATATGGTGTGTGGTTTGTTTGTTTGTTGAGTCACAGTCTACTCTGTCACCCAGACTAGAGTGTGACGGCATGATCATGGCTACCACAGCCTCCACCTGCTGGGTTCAGGCAATCCCTCTGCCTTGGTTTTCCAAGTAGCTAAGACTGAAGGTGTGCGCCACCATGCCCAGCTAGTGCAAGGGTGTATTTACTTATTTAGATTTTTTTGTAGAGGCAAAGTCTAGCTATGTTGCCTAGGCAGGTCTCGAACTTCTCCCGCCTCAGCCTCCCAAAGTGTTCAGTTTATAGGTATGAGCCACCACAACTGGCTGGTGTCTTTGTAATTTGTGAATTTGCTATTTGTCATGAAGTCAGTATGTTTGCTGAGTTATGTAAGGCTTTACAAATCTATATTGCTAGCAGTGGAATGCATAGGTTGCTGCTTGCTTTGTTGGGATTTTACCTGATGCAATGTTCTGTATTGTAATAGCTTAACTATTTATTATTTTGTTTAAACATACTGGATTTCAGGAATTCTGCTTCTAGTTTATCCTAAGGAGATGATCAAGAGATATGCAGATATTACATATTACAAAATTTTGATTTTTTGGTCATAAATAAGTTCCTCAATGTCCAAAATTTTGTTACAAGCCAAATATCATCACAGTAATATTGTTAATAAAGTAAAAAAATTTAAATATTCTGCATGTCTGACAGTAGGCAATTAGTTAAAAAAAAATACTCTATCTATGCAATAGAATACAGTTATCCCAAAGGGTACACAACAATGTTAGAAAGATATTCAGTGTATTTTGTTAAAAGAAAAAAGCTGATTATAAAGCAATACATACATTATGATCTTATTTTCATTAAAAAATGTTTTATGTGCATAGAATGAGAATCGGAGGGGTATGTTTCAAATGTGGCTTCAGCTAAGTGGATTACAGATAATTTAAAAATTCTAATTCTAACTCTAATTAAATTATAATTTTAGTTACCTGAGTTTCTAAAATTTCTACAATGAAAATGTATCCTGTAATAATTTTTTTCTTTTACACTTAAAAAGGCTTCAGTAGTGAGAGGTTTGTTTAAAAGCCTCAAAATATGAGTTAGAAATTATTTCTTGTATCTAGTTCCCAGTTTGAAAATTGCTATTGTGTGTGGCTCTGTAACTACTTTCTTTAAACACATGAATAATAAGGTTTACTAGATAGGGGGGAAAGAAAGAACACCAACTATATTGGATTACAGACTTATTTTAACTTAGTTATCTCTTTGAAGGCCTTATGCTTAAATACAGACACATTCTGGAGAGCTGAAGTTAGGGCTTCAACATATGAATTTTGAGGAGATACAATTCAGTCAATAATACTTTTATTTCTTTTTCTTATTGCCCTAAGTAGTACTTTCAGTACAATATTTTTAAAATGTGATGAGAGTAGTCATCTTTGCCTTGTTCCTGACTATAGCAGGAAAGCTTCCAGTTTCTTGCCTTTAAGTGTAATGTTAGCTGTAGATTTTTTATACATGATTTTTTTTATCAAGGTGAAAAAAGTTCCCCCTTTATTTCTAGTTTTATTGAGAGCTTTTACACTTTTTATCTGTGTGTATCATTACTCCACATACTCAATTTCAAAAACAGAAAGACATGCATTCTTTTGTATACTCTCCTCAGTTAATAGGTTCTGTTTCTATTACTGGCAGTTTTTAATATCTTCTTTTTAAAAATTAACATTGGCATACTTTAAGCCCACATCAATATTATGAACCACTGTAGCAGATCCCCTGACTTCAATCTAATTCTCTTTAAATCCATCTCCCACACAGCCCAAGAAGAGTTTCCTTGATTACCAACCACCTTCTTTCAGGCACTCGACCTTATTATGTCTATGAGTACCTTTGGCACAAATTCTGGATTTTAATTGTATAAACTATCTCACTGAATACTAAACTTTCTAACATATTAGGTTATTTATCCTTGAGCCTACTGTGAAGCCAGAATGAATAACACAGGTGTTCAATAAAATTAATTAAATAAATAAATACATTCAGAGACATAGATAAGGTAATTCTGGAGATTGCTCAAAAATGTTTGCAGATCTCTGTCTCCCACTTTAGTTCCTTGCATTGCAATCCATTAACTATATAGATAGTGAAGGTCACTCATTGATTGGCTTTTTATTATTATTATTACTCCCTTTTCATGTAACACGTATAGAATATTTGATCAAGGTGAAAATTTAATAATCATTTAACATGCTAATGAAAGTAGTTGGAAAATTGGAAAATGTTTTATTTTAAAACATGATCTGGGCATCTTTGTTAATTATCCATGATTGTGTATAGGAGGAATGGGCAATAACAAAGACAAACATCAGATAAAATTTTGTTAAAACAGTATAATAGAATATAAAAATATTGTTCAACAGTATGCCATAAGAATCAACAGATATAAAATCCTGTAAAATAAAATGTTATTGGAGACCAGTGGAAGGGCTCATCAATAAAAATTATTCATCTCTAATAGCCAAGAATTTCAGAACCAATAATGTCTCAAAGGGTGAAAAAGTAACATATGGAAATGGTAAATCACATGGAAAAAAATCTTCTAATAGTATTCTTGTGACATTCAGGAGAATAGCTTTCATTAATGGTCACAAGAAATATGAAATAAATAGCCACGATGCAGTTGATAAAAGAGAAATGATAGTCATAGAATAGTATTTTTCTTCTCCAAAAGTTTTTTTAGAGCTTCTTGGACATCTTTGTTCCTCAGAGAGTAAATCAAGGGATTCAACATGGGAGTGACCAGGGAGTAACATAAGGATGCCACTTTACTCAGCTCAGGAAATCTGTCAGGCGTGAGATACATAAAAAAGACAGCACCGTACAGCACACTCACTACTCCCAGGTGAGAACTGCAAGTGGAGAAGGCTTTCTTACGTCCTTCAGTAGACTGTATCTTTAGAACTGTGGACACAATGTACATGTAAGAAACAACAATGACTATGATGGTAGGCAAGATTATGACACAGGATAAGAAAAAAGATACCATTCGATGGATAAAGAGGTCAGAACAAGACAATCTCTGAAGTGGACGAGCATCACAGTAAAAGTGGTCAACAGTCCGAGAAGCACAAAAGGATAAAGAAAATGTCTTGCTCGTCTGAAGAACTGAGGTAACGCAGCCACAAAAATAGGAGCCAGCCACCAGCTGAGTACAGAGACGTGTTGACATCTGAACAGAATAGAGGAGGGGGTTACAGATGGCAGTGAAGCGGTCATACGCCATGGCTGCCAGGAGAAATCCCTCAGTCACAATGAAGAGAGCAAAGAGGAAGAGCTGAGCCACACAGCCTGCAAAGGAGATGGACTTGCTCTCAGACCAGAAGTTGATCATAGCCTTGGGTGCAATAACAGATGAATAGAAGAGATCAATAAAAGAGAGATTGCCTAGGAAAAAATACATTGGTGTGTTCAGCCGGGGATCAGTCATAACAATGGCCATCATCCCAACATTCCCTAGAAGGACCACAGCATATACAAGCAGAAATAGCAGGAAGAGCAGAATGTGGAGCTCTGGGCGGACCCTGAAGCCTATAAGAATGAAGTCAGTCATTTCTGAGTGATTGCTTGTTCCCCTGTCACCCATGGTAGAGACCTGCTGAGAGGCATAAGGCAAAAATAAACAAATGAACTCTTGGTTCTGAACCTAGCATTATAAATAATCTCTTACAGTACCGTATTTGGATTTACTAAGCTGTTCTGGAATCACTATTAACTTTAGCCTCATAGATATAATATGACTTAAATGAAAGCTAACTAACTTATGTTGAATCAAAAAATCAGTTTTATTTCTTAATTCCTTCAAGAATGAAGTTAGGTCTTTTGTCTCTGCATCTAATGAAATGCCTATCTACCCTAATACTTTCTATAATCACTTCTCTATACATTTCCCAATCACTTCTCTATACATTTCCCACTTGTAATTCACACAATAACCTCAACATCATGAAGCAGTGACAGAAAGCACGAATAATTTAATGAATGACATTTGGGATATGACAGGTCTGGTTTTGGAGATATTTGAGACTTGTCAAATTTAGGAAAATTTGGGGTCTTAATTATGCCAGCAGATATTTAAAAAGTGACTAAATTTTAAAAAATGTGTTAAGAAGTTCTATTACTTTTTGCAAGTCATGGAAATTGAATTCTGATGGACATAAGATGTTAGGTGTGCACAATCAAATAAAAAGTTATTAAGACTCACATCCTAGAATTTCTCCCCCAATGGGCCATCAAAGTCCTTTCACAAAAAAAAAAAAAAAAATCTGCATTTTCTGAAACCAAGACTCATAGTTCTTTAGAAAGAGGTCTATAGGTAGAAATCTTCTATAGATAAAAGATTACTTTTGAAATTAATACTGCAAATGTTACATATGAAGGAACTGTTGATTTTTAACTCCATACATTAGCAACAATGCCCACTCTTTGTCTCTCCTCATGGTTTTATATATATGATTCTGTCTAGTCAATAATAATTACAGACATTTATGTGACATTTCTTATATGCAAGACACTTTTCTAAATGTTTTTATAGTAGCTCATTTAACCACACAGAAATAATATGAAGTAAATTTTACACTCCCAAGTTTACAGATGAGAAAACTGAGCTACAGAAAATTAGTTTGTTGAAATTCACCTACTAGTGTCAGAATCTAAATTTGAAGGCAAAAAACCTGGCTTCAGAATTCATGCTCTTAATCATTATTAATAATTAATCATTGGACTAGATCACTTTTTGATAAGGAGCCTTTTCTGATCTGTTACCTTCCTTGCTTCTGTTTGTACTTTAGAGTTTGGTTAAAATTTCTTGTCTTCAAAATAAATTCTTTAATTCATCAATCTGGGTCAAAACATCTCTTCTAAAGACAATAGTTACTATCTCCACATTAATATTAAATATTAATTATTCTTCATTTGACAATAACTCAAGATCAGTCTCAACTTGTTTCTATATGTTGCCAGCATAACATTCTGTTCTGGCAAAAGGCAATTAATCAATACATATTTATTATAGATAAAGGTTAAATGATAATGATCATAAAGAATCAGAAAAAAAAATGAAGCCTATGTAAAGCTGCAGTTGTTACTATGGGTGCTAGGTTGTGATAGATACAGAATCCAGTCTTCTCTCACTCTCTAAATGGGACTTTGGACAAATTACTTATGCTCTCTATGCTACTGTATCCTCATATATAAAGGGAGTATATGAAAAAAATAACCCTCAAAGTTTTCTTAGGGTTAGAAAATGACACAGGTACTAAAATCACTCAGCACTATTTATGGCAGAGTAAGTATTCAGTAATGGTTAGCCATTATTATTTTTGTTATCCTTTTCAGTGTTCAGTCCCACAATGTATAGCAAAATAATTAATGAAAATTATGTTGAAAGTTAATAATGGGTATATGATTCTTTTTTGGATAAACCATTCTAAGTTCAGGAAAGCAATTAAGGAAAGCATTAAAAATTTAGAGCAAATAAAGAAAACAAGGAGAAAGGGACTATGTTGCCTGAGAGAAAATATGATTAAGAGAAAAATAGCATAATGTGATATCATTATTCAAGATTGTATTAAATACTGAAAAGATATTCACCAGTTCCATAGAAATTTGTGAATAATTATGTTATAGAGTAGCAAGGTTTTGCATTATCATACTTAGGGGCCTTAAAGGTGTGAGATATTTAAGTAGTAAAAGGCAGCTTCCTGATGGTCATTACTTTAAACTTTTTGAAAAATAATGTTTCACTTATTTTTCTTTAATCTCACCTAGAGGCAAGGACACAGATTTTAATTTCCAAGATTTATTTCTATCAAAATCATTCCAACATTATATATATATATATATATAATGTATATATATACATATATATATATATATACATATATATATATATATATATATTTTTTTTTTTTTTTTTTTTGAGTTGGAGTCTCACTCTGTTGCCCAGACTGGAGTACAGTGACTGCTCCCGGCTACCGCAGCCTCGACCTGCTGGGCTCCGGCGATCCTTCCGCCTCAGCCTTCCAAGTAGCCGGAATTACAGGCATGTGCTACCACGCCCAGCTGATTTTTTTATTTATTGTAGAGATGAGGTCTTGCTGCCCAGGCGGGTCTCCAACCTGCGGGCCCAGGCAATCCACTCACCTCAGCCTCCTAAAGGCGCGGGATTACAGGCTGAGCCACCGAGCCCGGCTCCAACATTATATTTTAACATTAATTATTCTTTACTTGACAGTAATTTTTTTTTAGATCAAACTCAACTTGCTGACTTATCGTCAACAAAATGTTTTGCATCTGGCAAACGGCAATTAATCAATATATGTTTATTATACAGATAAAAGTGAAATGATAATGAGCATGCAGAATCAGAACAGTTTAATAAATTTCTAACAGGTGTAATATACATCATGACATTCTAAATATTAATACATTTATGACTGAGGACATTTATATCTGGAAAAGGGAGTTATTTTCAGAGTAGTCAACAAACCAGTAGTGTGTGAAATTATTTGTCAAAACTTTTAAAAGTTACTTTTACCTTATGTTGTTTGGTAACTTGTCAGGTTCTCTTAAAAACGAAGCAGCCGAGTTCCAATGTTTTCTTCTGTTTATTGTTTTAATTCTAGAAAAAGTAAACATAAAGTTAATTAATGACTATGTCACAATTACAAGCAAATACTGAAAAGTCACCACATGGAGATAAAATGAACCCTTCCCCCAAATGCATGTTCATTATCCAGTAAAGTTTCCCAGAGAAATGTGACCTATATTCCTCATGGCTCTATTTTAAAAACTGTTCTTGTCGGGCTTGGTGGCTCAGCCTGTAATCCCGCGCCTTTGGGAGGCTGAAGTGAGTGGATTGCCTGAGCCTGCGGGTTCGAGACCCGCCTGGGCAGGCGAGACCTCATCTCTACAATAAATCAAAAAATTAGCGGGGCGTGGTAGCGCACGCCTGTAATTCCAGCTGCTCAGAAGGCTGAGGCAGAAGGATCGCCGGAGACCAGCACGTCGACTGCACTCCAGTCTGGGTGACAGAGTGATACTCTAACTCAAAAAATAAATAAATAAATAAATAAAAAAATAAAAACTGTTCTTTCCCTTAGTAGTTGGTCTCTTGAAAGATTCCATGGTTGTTTTTAGAAGAGTTAGGGTGAATTTTCCAAATGATGCTCTGCAAATACTGAAATAATTTTGGAAATTATATTCTATAATTATGCAAAGTGAACTTGAGGAATCAATCCACAGGACATTCTCTATCCTGCATTCTTGGATGCTTGGATGCTTTTAACAAAGGAGAGTGGATTGCCATGGATATGCAAGGAGAGGCCCTGAGCCATTTGAAATCTCTAAAACACTGCCAAAATATTAACTTCCCTTATCCATAAGGGCTTTGATTTTACTATATCAGTGTAACTTTTTCAAATAATTGCAGCATTGAGATTTCGCTCACCTTCTGGGAGATAGTACCTGTGGGGGAGAAGAAAACAAACCAATAATTAAGACATCTTGATTCCAGATCCAAGGTCCATGAAGGCCTCAGAGGCTCTAGATTAAATAAATTTTAAAAGACCCCTAATAGGACTTAAAGTACATACGTACTAGGGTTTTTCCTTCCTTTGTGTGATTCCTTGGGAGAAACCACAAGGATCTTTCAACTTTAATTTCTTCACTAAAAAAAAAAAAGAATTTTCAATTTGTTGTTATAGCACAGTTTTTGGTAAACAAATGTAAACAGATATGAAAAACATATTGTACTTTATAATACAATTTATTTTTTAAAGTGTCTTCATTATAACATTAATTTCTTTCTTTTCAGCCTGTAATCCCGCGCTTTGGGCGGCTGAGGTGAGTGGATTGCCTGAGTCCGTGGGTTCGAGACCCACCTGGGCAACTTGGCGAGACCTCATCTCTACAACAAATCAAAAAAATTAGCCGGGTGTGGTAGCACACGCCTATAGTTCCAGCTACTTGGAAGGCTGAGGCAGAAGGATCACCGGAGCCCAGCAAGTCGAGGCTGCAGTGGCCAAGAGTGGCCACTGCACTCCAGTCTGGGTGACAGAGTGAGACTCCAACTCAAAAAAAAAATTCAATTCACCCAAAACTTTTCTTGATTATTTTTTAGGGGTATTTTTCAATTGTAGTTGATAATAAATAGAATAGCATGACCATGATTTGTGCCAAAGTCCAACACATGCATGCTAATTTATCCAGTAGAGTTTAAATAATGTTGAACTGGTTGTGTACTCATAACCAGAACAGCGAACACTGTACCCAACAGGTAATTTTTCAGCTCTCACCTGTCTCCTACCCTCCCTCATTTGTAGTGTCCAATGTTTATTATTCCACTCTATATGTGCATGTGTATTCCTTGTTTAGCTTCTACTTACAAGTGAGAACATGTGGTATTGGATGTAAAGTTCATAATTGTAATTGCTTGAAAGTTGTTTATTCGGGTGTCATGTATTAATAATTTCTCATATATTTTCCTGTACACATTCCAAAATAATTTAAAGAATTATTGTGTATCCATCAATAAATGATAGGAAAAAGAAATGTTATATATACTGAGGATGCCAAAAAGTGCATACACATTTTAAGTATGACATTTGCTCAAAAGATGATGGTAATCAAATCAATGCTAGCATCACATGCGACAGGCAGGACAGTCTAAGAAAATGGTGGAAGCATGGTTGAGCAAATGTTATACTACACAGTGCTGCCATAATTCAATTCA